GGGGGGGAGGGCAATACATCCCATATATCTGAAACCACTGAATCAGGAGGATATGAAATGGATCCTACCGGGCAAGAGGACTTTAATGAAGAAGATTCCGGACTAAAAGAGCAAACAATCAGTCCAGCGGGGAGTGTGAATAGGTCTCACTGAATCCACTCAAAAGGGCACACTAGAACTAAGTTTAAATAAACAACTGAGAAATGTTGATAGTGACGGGATGATACCAGAATATGGGAAAAGTGAATGCACCAGGACAGAAGGAGAGATACCGCAACTGTTGAGCAAACAATTGGTAAAAAGGTCAACTTAATTTGCCTCTTTGAGCAGTTGTAGCTTGGTGCTGAGAATCGCGAGGCTCATTGACGATGCCGACGAAACGTCTGCTAATGTACCAAGTCCACGATCCGACACTGGGAACTACTCCAACTGCTCAAGCAGATGACTTTGGACAAGGTGCGTCTAACTAGGTCGCCTTGACAACACGACCGAGTTGCGTAACCAGGTGAGACCATTTCGATACATCGAAAGTAGACTGCTTGGTCCTCATATCTATATTTGATTTTTTGTTTATTTGAAGGTTTACGAGACTAAAAGCAGATTATATTTAAGCATAACCATCACACCATTTCGTTCAAGCTGATAAGGGGATTGGTAGCTGAATTTTCTGACAATAGTATGAGTGGATCTTACATTTCCTTCTTAAATCTACTTATAAATGAAAAATAAGTAACGTAGTCGATTGCTATTGCGTCGTCGACAATCCTTTCAGAAAATGTTGTGTGGGAAAATTCCTGGCCTACCTTAGAATGTACACCTTTCCCGTGATCCAAGGGCATTTGTGGCAAAGTGGTGTAGTGGCTAACGTGTGGAGATTAAACGCTGCACTGTCATGGTTCGAGTTCTGCTGAGAGGGCGGATGATACCAGGGCTAGGTTGAAGCCTCGATGAGAAGAGCACCTTTTGGCAAGTAAGGCTGTGTGAAATTCAGTGAAAAACTAAGGTCTATTCATATGATTGTGGGAAAATTCTACTACCAGTCCTTCATCTCTCAATAAGAACTATGGTGAACACATCTCATATATTTGATTTAATGATGGTCTCGATTTATAAACAAATAATCAAAAAGCCCATGAATGTTCGGGAGGTGGGGAGATGTATGATTGGGATCAAGTTCGTCTAATGGAGATCGATCCTCTTTGTGCCTATCGTCGACCAGCTTATCCTAAGTCCGAGAGATTGGGTCAAACTTGAAGTGACATCTACACTTGGATCGACTGCATGTGGATAAGAGCTTCCTCACCTCTTCTTCGTCTCTCTGGCTGGTGAGTGAGCAAAGGGGGAGGCCTCGTGGTCCGGCCCGACCATTGGTTCGTGATACGGACCTCTTCATTAGTGGGTTTCCAAAGGAGCCAGTTAGATGGAGATTTGAGAGATACGGAATTTCATAGTCTTTTCTGATCCCCAGGAGGTAGTGTCCCTGTCCTGCCGACAAATGGCTCTTGAAAAAGCAACCTCGAAACTTCCGCTTTAGAAGGTCAAACATCTCTTACCAAATCCAGCGAGTGTATGCGCCTACTTGACCTTCTTGTGTTGTGAGTTCGAGTGTGCTCTTTCAAGAGCCGTCTGTCGGTATGATAAGGCAGACGAATGATTGTCAATGGTTACCACTTTCGAAATCAGGTTTTCTCGCAATATTCCTGAAGAGCATATACTGAGCGACGTTAAGCGCAAAAGTTGCTGTGATTGGTAAATTCAATGACTGCGCCAGATCAAATTTCTTTTTGGGTAGACCAGCGAGTTGGCAGAAGTTGCGACCCTTAATTCAAAAAAGTTATTTCTTTTTATATGATATTGCTTGTTTCGGCACAAATTTCATGCATGACCACATTCTTCAGTACTGCATACTTAAACAATTCAGAAAAATCCGATTCTAAAGGAGGCTATTTAAATCAGCCATCTTGAAATATTTTCGCTGAATCACTTAGCGACGTGTTCTGTTTACTTCTGCTTGAAGTGGCCAGTTCCGTCGAAAGGTACCACAGGATGTTAAGTCATTGAACAATGAGCATTATTCTTAAATAAATGTCTACAGATGGTTACGTAAATATACATGCTACTCTTTTTATCCTCTACTCCCTTCATCTGTCCCCATTAATCTGAGTGCTTTGTTGTATCTTCCATATCAAGGATCACACTTTCATGCTTCACCTTTTAAAAGAGTCAGCTGTAGATTCCCATTCTATCGTATGATTATTTCGTATGAAAGTGCATGAAGAAGAGCAGCAGTTTGGCCGCAGATTGACGCAGTACACGAGGCCTCCTCCCTCGTTTAGCGTGAAAATGGGCTGTGATGATGACCAAAATGTAGTGGACCAAATCTGCCCGAAAGAGGGAGGATGTCCTTTGGACTGCGTCAACCTGAACTCAGTATCAAAGCCACACGGCTGCAGGACAACGGGACTCGGCTGCCGTCTTCTGGTGAGATCCAACTTCGAATCTCCTCTTCATGCACTTCCATACGATATGAAAGTCTCTGCAAAATGTTATCACAGAAGAAGCACTCTTCGTATCTACAAGATAGATTCTCATCGACATTCAGCTCACTCAGCTCTTGATGAAATAGCAAGTTGCTCAATTTCTGGAGCATACATTTTGGGAGATGGCGATGCTTCGAGGCAGAATACATACAACCTGGGCCCATCTTTGCTTGACCATGAGTCGTGACTATAAGCAGCTGGCTTCTGTTCATTGTTGTGGTTCCTCCCAAGCGCATATTCATTTGTTTTTGCAAAGTGTTACTATGGGCCTACATTGTACATTTGGTCACTCCGGAACCCGTTAATCTCCCTTTTCATTCTTGCCTAGGAAGGTCCTGATGGGGTCCACTTTCACAAGATTGGCCACTGGATCTTGACGAGCTAACCTGAACGGTGATCCGAGTCTTCCACATTCCAGGAGACGCCATTACTTTTGTCAGTAGATAAATCTGGCCCGCACCCATTCCAGGGGGCGCATCTCGACGCGACCTTTGACCTTTCGTATGCTTGCTCTGTACGCGGACTTTGGCTCCACTGCTGCAACCAAGTGACCTGGTGACCATCCAGCTTGCCAGGTTTTCACGACATCTCTCTTTCCAAGTGTCCAACACATCTACCGTACAGCTCTAACTATATTCCAGTTTGTTGCCATGGCGAGTGAGGAGGCAAGGCGGAGGCCATATGAGATTGTCCCGTAACAAATGTCAGCACTGAAGTGGAGTCAGATCACAGAATGGGCAGGACGGGGTTGAAATGGGTTTGGATGGTGACAGTGGGGCATGCTGGGAGGGTGGAATGCAGGAAAAGTAGGCAAAATATTCTTCTCGTCGAAGCACGGCCATGCAAGCAATTCCGTTGTAATCGTGAGGGCTGATAAAGCCGGCGCCACAGGTCGCGTCTGCTGGGGCACCCAGCAGCTGAGCATTGCATACAGCAAAAAACGGCAATGGAAATGCTATGCGATTGCTCAGAGAAAGTATCCGCAAAAAGCGCTCTGCTT